TTCTTTTGAGAATTTTACTGCTTAATTTGATGTGTAAACGATGTAACTACGGTAATATGGCGAGCACTTGCGTGTGTTGGTTTTCATGTTTTAGCTCGTAATTTTGTAGTTTTGATATTCACCCCCACTTTTCTAAAATAATAATAATAAATTTCCAGAAGTCATTTCACTAGTTAACGTTTTTTATTGGAAGTTGGTGATAAAATTTTCTGTTTGATCTGCAGTAGTTTCGCAACGGACAAAAGTTGCAATGACCATTAGCAAAGTAGACGCGATTACAACTGAACAAATATCAAGAGCTAAGACAACTTAGAGTTGACTGACTTTATGCTATTGAGCAGTTGTATCTTGCGTTTGATAGAAAAAAACGTTTTTATGACAACATTTTATCGCCATAGATACTTTAAAGTGCCCATAACCTTTTTTTTATTTTCTCTTCTGAATGTAAACATCACACAAGGAACTTCTGCGAAAAAAATTTGCGATTTGGACAAAACGCGAATTTTTTATGAATTTTATAAAACGTTCAAATTTGGCGCCATTTTGGCTCACCATTTGCCTTAGTCTCCTCTCGGTCCTTCAGAGCTGTGACGTACGTTCAGGAACGCGTGACTTCAGACTTGCTCTCATTTTACTGCAAACAAGTAGAGAATCGTATCCTAAAATGCCGGAACGATGCGTTGCGGCGAGATGTGGGAACACGAACGACCCCAAGAACAGAATAAGCATGCACAAGATTCCTTGGCAAGAGGAAAATTATACTAAAACAATTATTCGCCTCAGGCTCAGTGAATATTGTGAATATTCACCTCCACTTCGTCTCGGTAAATATTCACAATATTCACTGAGCCTGGGGCGAATAATTGTTAAATAGTACTAAGTTAGTGCTTATACAACGGCCACTCACACGTTACTGAATAGTCTGACGAAGAAATCAATACAATATTTTTATGCTGCCTTCATTTCATTTTGGAGTTTTGGCATGGAGTTTTTGAAATGACAGTCTATTTCCGTAATTTTAAATACGCTAATAATAACTGAAATGTTTTTAAACTATCTTAAGGGTCCTGAAGGCAAGAAATGCATCGATGCGGAGTACCGTTTACTTGTACTTTGTTCTTAATTTTTTCAAATATTCTTTGCGAAGCAATTTGTCACGAAGAACGTATAAACCCTAAACAAACTGCGTCTTTCAACCCCACTTTGTTAAGGTCGCGGCAATAACTTTCAACGAGTCTTGAAATTGCAAAATCTGCTTCTGTCACATCACAAAAGAGGTTATGATGCACCACTGGGTATACAATCATTAAGTTTAGAACGCTTCCCAAGCTGAAAGCTTGGACACAAAAATTGATTTTCCGCAATTCTAAATTTAGTAGCTTAAAATATCACCGTAGATTGCGATCTGCCAGAAAAAACGACAATCATGATGTAATTCTATCATCCACCAATATCCCCATAAAGTTTCAGCGGAATCGACTTTCAAAATGCAGAGATTTGAAGCTTTAGAAGATAACACCTACCACTAAAATTTGACTTATGAATTTAATCTTGGTAAATACCCGGCTATTGATTGATGGAAATCATTCATCTCAGTTCTTTACAAACCGTTTCTTGTTTAATAACATGAACTGATAGTACCGAAGAGATTTCTGCAATAATTTTGTGTACCTTATAAGCAAGTCCCCAGATAACAGGCCGTCCAACAAACACCGCTCGAGCCCCCAAAGCAAGGGCCTTTAGAACATCAGTTCCCAGTCTCACGCCACTGTCCAGATACACTTCGACCCCAGTTTCCTCTGACGGCCTCCGCTATCTCGGGTAACACTTCAATCTGTCAAAACAAAGAACGTTTTCTTTTTAATTAAATAATAATTACATGACCAATTCAAAGTATTAAATAACAAGAAAACGTCGTAGGTTTAACATATACAGTGGCCGGGACACCATCTAACTGCCGCCCTCCGTGATTTGACACCATAATCCCTTTAGCCCCATGTTGCACTGCGAGACGAGCATCCTCCGCTGTCAATATTCCTTGACAACAAACGGAAGTGACGTGATTGAACGGAGCCAATCAAATGTCTCCCAGTCAACACTTCCGTCTTTTAAACTGATGATATAATCACACATTTCCTTGTTATTCTGAAGCCCTTCCTTCTTTTTCCAAGATAAGAAATTAGCAAATTCCAAATGCTCAGGAAGAAAAAAATTCGCTCTCCCTTTATGTTCGCCATAGGTTGGAATATCAAGTGTTAATAAAATAGCTTTGTAGCCTGCTTCTTCAGCTCGTTTTAACACACTCTCCATGAACTGTCGATCTTTGTAAAACTGCATTTGCATAAACTTGATGGTGTTTGGAGACTCCAGTGCGACGTCTTCCAGACTGTTTGTAGAGTCTATGCTCAGACCCATCCATGGAATTCACCGCTGCAACGGACAAAAAAAACGTAATATATTGCCATGGAAGGCATCCTGTACACAACAGCTAAGATTCAGTACAGAAGCATCATCAATGTTTCATCTAAATATAAGCTAATATAGATCTTGGAGCTAAATTAACCTACGCCCAAGACGAACTCTACCGCCATTAAGGTCCATTTCAGATCAGTCCTCCCGCAAGAACTGAGAAGACTCGAACCAGATTGGACACTCTGAAGTGCAGAATGTTTTATTACTCGACTGTCTCGATAAATGATTTTTTTCTCCGGCTAGAACCGCCTCAGTTACCACCTTGTCACGACCTATCACCGAGCTGCAGTCCTAACCGAAGAGCTAACCGCTGTAAAAAATAAACTTACCTCTGACTGTGGCCAGTTCTCCGTCAGGATGCGCCATTCCCTGAAAGGCTGTGGGTGAAACACATATTGGCATGCTTAGCTTGTGACCCAGGACCGTGACGGAAATGTCTTGATGGGAAACGTTTCGCAGCATTCGCGGTCTTAGTATAAGCCTGTAGGAAATAAATGCCGGTTTAAATAAATCATGTGGCATGGAAACATTCACCAGTCAGTCAACGAATGACAAAACGTTTGTTAATAAGCTATCATGGCTATCATTGGCATTTTACCACACAGTAACACGCACGTAAATTCGTCGGGTTACTCGTTACCTTTTAAAAGCTTGTCGATTTTCGTGCAGTGTAACATCGTCGCCGGATCCCGATGAAAAGTAATCAAAGGCGTTCTTGTCCAAATGTTGAGCAGCATATCTCTCTAGATCATCCATTGTCACAGGCTCTCTAAATAATAGGGAACGAGTCTTATAATACACTGCACCGTCAGACGGTAATTAACGACGTTAGTATATTCAGTTTATATGAAAGTATTATAAGGCTAGTTCCCTAAAGCCTGGTTTTCACTAGCGACGCAAGCACAAGCGCAAGCAACATACGCAGACGCAGTAACGTGTTGATTTGTCGTAAACAAAAGGCACTGATGATCAACGCGTTACTGCGTCTGCGTATGTTGCTTGCGCTTGTGCTTGCGTCGCTAGTGAAAACCAGGCTTAAGGGAGTGTTTCACGGTTCGGCGCATGTTCAGGCTTATCAAACCCCACTCACATGTACGTCTCAATACTTCAGTAATCACATACTATAATGTCATGAGAGGAATTACCGTTTATCAATCATTTCTATGTTTATCCGTGTTCAGTGTTTTAAAACCTTTTTAAAAGCCAACAGTAAGTTCCATTTTTAAATACAACAAAACTAGAAGTTTAATTTATTTGTTATTCAATATGAACATTGCACTTTGAACATTGCCGCGTCCTTTGTACACTAGTACAGCTGCACTTTTGAACATGGCCGTCCTTTTATTCTAAAAATCAGTATTTGAGTCAGCTGTCCTTTTGAGCCTTACGCTCGCAGTGAAATTTCTTTGTTAGGTATTTCTTCCTACGGTAGTTTTCCAGCTGAACATATATTTTTAAAACTGTTCTATTCAAGGGGAGTTAACCCTTGCTGTCAGTCACTTTTCTGCAACAAAGCAATTTCGGAAGTAAGCAGAATTTTTAAGTAGTAATCGCTAACTTCAAACAGAGTATTTTCCGTTCTTATTGTATTTCTACACGTGGTAGAGTTTGCCAAGTCATAAGATTGTAACAATCAACGCTTACACGAACCATATATAAGGAAGTCACTTGTAAAGCTTTTCTTAATTACATCGCCGATTACGATGCTGTACTGAAATTACCAGTGAGCTCTGAATAAACTACTGTTGGACCCAAATCCAGTCTGTTCCTTGACGTCCGTAAGAAGTTTCCAGTGAGGTAGATCCCGAGTGCTAAGAACGCGTGACGAGATTCTGTTCCCGCAGGTCAAGCAGTGCATAGTTAGTAGAGTCTCCTCTACTAACTATGAGCAGTGCTTCCATTTGAGTCTAATTACCCCAAGTTTCAGTTGCCTTTCAGCTACGGTCCCAAAGTGTCCGTTGACCCGAAAAACCAATCGTCACAATAATTAGTCCAAGCAAACTGAAGAATGACAGAGTAAGAATGACCGAAATTCATAAAAATGTCAACGGATTACACCGAGAATTGTCGACATTGAATACCAATAAATTACCATAATAAAGTGCTGGCCCGAAGGATTTATTTTGGGAATTTATTCTGGTATTCAAATGTCGACATTCTCGGTGTAATCCATTGAAATGTTTTGCGAATTTTAGCCATTCACTAATTATTGTTTGTGATTACTGAAGTATCGAGAAGTGCATCCCAGTGTGAGCGGGGTTTTCTAAACGGATAAGTCGATAAGCCGGCAGATGCGCCGAACCGTGAAACACTCCCTTTACAATACCCTCAATATATCATGCCATGCTCCCTCTTTCTGATTGGCTCTTAGAACAAAGGGGTAGACTTCGCTGGTAATAATTACCACGTATAACGGACATTAGAGGCTTAGGTGGTTGGTCAATAATTTGCGTTTATAGTCTGTGAAATAAATGAAACAGTCCTCGCAGTGTGGCATTTTTAGCCTGAAGAACAAAAAAAACAATTAAAGGCTATAACGAGATTCAAACCCATGACCTCGTCGATACCGGTGCGATGCTTTACCAATTGAGCTATGAAGCCACCAATCTGGAGCAAGCGTGCTTATAGTTTTTTGGAACCTCTCTATGTAAATTACTGGTAAATCCAATCTCGCCGCGTCCTCCTTCCCCGGTCCTGGTCTAGGATTACTTTTTTTCAAAGAATAATGAAGTAGGAGCTGTGAGGATGACACGTACCCAGTTCCCCACATTGTTTACATTTATTAAACTTCATTCCACAAGTCCACACAAAAATGTAATAGAATTTCTTTGAAACAAGTAAGGTTTATCGCTCATAAAGTTTACAATATATTTTAATGGTAAAACAAAAATTAGGCTCGATTACCGCCGCTATATATCATTTTTCACGAGGAGACGGAAGTACACAGGCTGGGTGCGAGGTTCTTTCGACAATCTCTCGAGTTGTGCAAGATTTTTCTATTTCACTGCTGCTTTCCATTCGCTGTGATCATTCTGATTTAGTCAGAGGGCTGATGACGCGGGTCACTCAGAGGTGACTTGCTGCATGTATCATCACTAGTGAAGGGGTGATGTCCTTGAGAGACGCACATCCTAAGACAAAACAGAACAATCAAATCTAGCTGCATATGGCTAGCTACACAGACACGTTTTTGCTCAAAATACGACATTGTTTGAATTTTCAAGAACATCAGTGATAGCTGAAATCAAAATGAAACATTGTTTAACTTTTTTATGCTTATACTAAAAATTACGAGTATGTTTATTTTCTTACATTCAGCACACCTCCTCCTGGACACCAAATTCAAAATTAAGAAACCATTCCATTCTATCGACCTTCCAAGATATTCCGTGTTTTTTCAGTTGGTTCCAAAACAAATCTCATAACGCACCCTAATAATCAACGCTGTTTCGCCCATTCTTGTAAACTTTCGTCGCGCCCGACTAACTGCCTCTGTAGTTTCCGAGGATTTGTGCTTACGGCTTTCACGACATTGCCAGCGCAAGTCACCGCTGACCTGTTTCAATCCGAATTCTGATTGGTTTATCACAACATGTGTGGCCGTTTTGGAGTTGTTTATTTGAAGACAAATTTTGTCAAACCTGCCAGAGCCATGGCTACTTTGAGCTCATGCCTAAGCATCTCAAGAACTTTGGTAACACCTTGCTCTCCCTGAAAGAAAAAAATCTTCTTTCAAACCTATAGCACGAGATATCTCAATCAACTTCAAATCCACTAAAATCTCCCTGGTTATTGATATATAGTACTAAGTTAGTGTTTATACAACAGCCACTCGCACGTTACTGAATAGTCTGACGAAGAAACAAAAATGAATCTGTTTTTTGTAATATTAATACAATATTTTCATGCTACCTTCATTTCATTTTGGAGTTTTGGAGTTTTGAAATGACAGACGTCTATTTCCGTAATTTTAAATACGCTAATTATAACTGAAATGTTTAAGAATACTATCTTAAGGGTCCTGAAGGCAAGAAATGCATCGATGCGGAGTACCGTTTACTTGTACTGTGTTCTTCATTTTTCCAAATATTCTTTGCGAAGCAATTTGTCACGAAGAGCTCTTTGGCTTTCTAACGTATAAACAAACTGCGTCTTTCAGCCCCACTTTGTTAAGTCTTGATGTAAAAACAATTAATCTTGGTAAATATACCCGGCTATTGATTGATGGAAATCATTCATTCCAGTTCTTTACAAACCGTTTCTTGTTCAATAACATCAAATGATATTACCGAAGAGATTTTGCCAGAATTTTGCGTACCTTATAAAGCAAGTCCCCAGATAACAGGGCGTCCAACAAACACCGCTCGAGCCCCCAAAGCAAGGGCCTTTAGAACATCAGTTCCCAGTCTCACGCCACTGTCCAGATACACTTCAACCCCAGTTCCTCTGACGGCCTCCACTATCTCGGATAACACTTCAATCTGTCAAAACAAAGAAGGTTTTCTTTTTAATTAAATAATAATTACATGACCATTTCACAGTATTTAAAAAATAACAAGAAAACTTCGTAGGTTTAACACATACAGTGGCCGGGACACCATCTAACTGTCGCCCTCCATGATTTGACACCAAAATCCCTTTAGCCCCATGTTGCACTGCGAGACGAGCATCCTCCGCTGTCAATATTCCCTTGACAACAAACGGAAGTGACGTAATCGAACGGAGCCAATCAAATGTCTCCCAGTCAACACTTCCGTCCTTTAAACTGGAGATATAATCATTCATTTCCTTGTTATTCCGAAGCCCTTCCTTCTTTTTCAAAGATAAGAAATTAGCAAACTCCAAATGCTCAGGAAGAAAAAAATTCGCTCTCCCTTTATGTCTGCCATAGACAGGGCATATCAAGTGTTAATAAAACAGCTTTGTAGCCTGTTTTTTCAGCTCGTTTTAACAAATTCTCCATGAACTGTCGATCTTTGTAAAACTGCATTTGCATAAATTTGATGGTGTTTGGACATTCCAGTGCGACGTCTTCCAGACTGTTTGTAGAGTATATGCTCAGACCCATAGCTGTATCCTTGGAATTCACCGCTGCAACGGACAAAAAAACCCGTAATATATTGCCATGGAAGGCATCCTGTACACAACAGCTAAGATTCAGTACAGAAGCATCATCAATGTTTCATCTAAATATAGATCTTGGAGCAAAATTAACCTACGCCCCAGACGAACTCAACCGCCATTAAAGTCCATTCGCGAACCGGTGACCCCGCCGGGTCAGTTCAGATCAGTCTCCCCGCAAGAACTGAGAAGACTCGAACCAGATTGGACACTCAGTGAAGTGCAGAATGTTTTATTACTCGACTGTCTCGAAAATGATTTTTTTTCTCCGGCTAGAACCGCCTCAGTTACCACTTTATCACGACCTATCACTGAGCTGCAGTCCTGCTAACCGCTGTAAAAAATAAACTTACCTCTGACTGTGGCCAGTTCTCCGTGTGGATGCGCCATTCCCTGAAAGGCTGTGGGTGAAACACATATTGGCATGCTTAGCTTGTGACCCAGGACCGTGACGGAAATGTCTTGATGGGAAACGTTTCGCAGCATTCGCGGTCTTAGTATAAGCCTGTAGGAAATAAATGCCGGTTTAAATAAATCATGTGGCATCGAAACATTCACCAGTCAGTCGACGAATGACAAAACGTTTGTTAATAAGCTATCATGGCTATCATTGCATTTGGCATTTTACCGGCATACAGTAACACGTACGTAAATTCGTCGGGTTACTCGTTACCTTTTGAAAGCTTGTCGATTTTCGTGCAGTGTATCATCGTCGCCGGATCCCGTTGAATAGTAATCAAAGGCGTTCTTGTCCAAACGTTGAGCAGCGTATCTCTCCAGATCATCCATTGTCACAGGCTCTCTAAAGTTTGGCATTTTCTGAATAATAGAACGATTTCGCATAAGTCGATTTTGATATGGTAATGTAGACTGCGAGCAGTCCCTCTTTCTTTCTTTATCGATCGCGAAGCAAGCGCGAGAGAGCGGAAATCGAGCGCGAAGCGCGAGCGAGCGGGAAATGGGCCGAGCGGAAGTGAGTCACGAAGTGACGAAGAGCGAAAGATAGAGGGACTGCCGGCTTTTCTGCATCAAACGCGTGCCAGATAACTCCGCCCACCAAGCCGTAAGCAATTGAAAATTAACTTTTTTAATAACAAAACTCTGCCCTTTAAGTCACGTACGGCCAAAAATAAACCAGCCCCCGGGTGCAAAGAAAGGATTCTTGTTACACACGCGACTCGTGAGTTTTTGCGAGGTAAATTGCACGAAAAAATAACATTGCCTATTTAAACAAGACTGCTTGTTTTGTGTTGAGTTAGTCTGTTCACAGCCTCTCTATTTTCTCAGATCGTTGTAGCCGCAAGCGTGTGTGTTGAGTACGATCTTAGATTATGAATCAATCAACGAAACTCAGCGCTATGTGGAAAAAGCTGTATTTATGAAGTGAACCATCAGCATTTGTTGTCGCTAATGTCTGAAAGTCCAAAGACTGTCTTTATCCTCGTCAGCAACCTCAAGCCAAAATCGTTGGACGATGCTCTTCTGGCGAACAATGATCAGATGCGGAGTAGACCTGTGATCCGACC